ATACAACATGGGGATTATAATTGAGATGGGAAGAAATGTACAAAATGATGTAAAAATAAACTTTTGTAAAATAAAAAAACAAAAAAAAAATACAACATGTAGTTGAAGGAGCCTATTTAAAACATGTAGTTAAATAGTTCCTATTTAAACAGCCACCTTGATTAATATCAGTGACAAAATTCAAAACACAGCATTCTAAGAGTAGGCAAAATCATCCTATGTTCTGTTAGCCTGAGGTATTCATAACACCAGGCAACTCACAGTAAAAATTTAAGATGTAAGGAATTATGACAATATCTGAAGAGAGACCATGTCTGAATTAATGAAGGTAGAGGGTTGACTGAAATTCTAATTGTAAATGACAAGGAAAATAAGGCAAAAGAAACAGAAATCCTGTAATGATTAGCTGCATTTGGTTTTATATTTTCTTAACACTCTATAATCACACCAACCAGAATATTTACTACTTTCTAAATTTTTGATTTAGAAATCATAATTTACTAAGTTGTGAGCATGTTTTTTGTAAATTACATTAAACCTATTTGACACATGTCAGTTTTTTCCCTTGCTACTAAGTACCATTTCAATGAGTCTAATTTAAATGCTACAGTGTGACACTTAGAACCAGTGGTTGAATTATTCAAGTAACCCACCTTCTAATTTTAAGCCCGTCCATATCCCTACAGAATTAAATTTTTGTTATGGAAACTTACATAATATTACTAAGCAGTTTCTTTTGCTTAATATTCTGCTCCAAATATAACTTCAGGATTATCTCTTGAAGAGGCTCTTATACCAAAACTATGAGGTAAATTAAAGTCGAGAGCTGCTTTTGCTTATAATATGGTGAATGTCAGCACTTTTCAGTCAATGAATATAAAACTAAATCCTGCTCCAAAGGACTTAATCAATTAAAAAAATAATTATTTTGTTATTGAATATAGATAGTGCAAATTTTATGATGAGGGAAAGTGGGAAAGAAGCTAGAAATTTATTAATCTACCATGTTTCTAATATATCTGATTGGATTTGTAATATGTTATCATATACCACCTTCAGATATTTCCAGAGAAAGCATCTAGACCATGACATCTAGTGATATTGAAAGTACATACTGATGATTTTCCTGATATTTCCGACAGTGTCTACAAGTGTTACATCTCAGGCCCTGTAATCCAATATAGATTCAGAAAATTTGGTCATATGGATAATCCTTGTAGCAGGCTTAAAAGAGTGGGATCACTGTCCAAAAAGCGTAGTTAATGGTCCTAGAGCAAGCGGCCCAAGCACTGCACAAAGAGCACTAAAAATAACCAAAGAAACATCAAGAGAAAAGCTAGAGTAATATCACCTTTTGATGAACTCCGAGAAATTAAGTAAAAAATGTGAGAAAGAGATGATGACAAAAGTATACAGCAGAAATATTAGAGCTTCCCTAGAAAGGAATGCGTAGGTGTTATAACAATGAAAGGACCAGGCAGACAGCTGAAAACCACCATATTGATTACCCCAGAACCCTGATTCCCTGGCCTAACAACATAAGCATCCCAGGGAACTTGTTAAAAATGCAGGAGTGGGGCCCTCCCTGGTGGCACAGCACTAAGAAGCTTAAGCCACTTCCGCATGAGTTCGATTCCCGCCTGCCCCGGAGGTGACCACATGGCGTGGCAGACCTCTCTTGACCTGCCCGCTGCTCCCCTCAGCAGTATACTTCGTAGATCTGCCTGTTCTGCTTCCCTCTCTGTCTCTGGTGAATCCTCTCACCCTCCGCATCTCTGGCCTGTACCCCAGTTCTATATGAATAAATAAAATAAATCTTTTAAAAAAATGCAGGAGTGACCTACACCCCCATGTTTATTGCTGCTTTATTTACAATTGGAAATACATGGAATCAACCCAAATGCCCAAAAGTAGTGACTGGATTAAAAAGGTATGGTACATACACACAATGGAATATTACTCAGCAATCAAAAAGATAAACTCATGCCTTTTGTAGCAACATGGATGGAGCTGGAAGAGATCATGCTTAATGAAATAAGCCAGAAAGAAAAAGAAAAATACTGGATGGTTTCACTCATAGCAGAAGCATAAAGGAAAAATAATAATGATCAACTATATACCAAAGACATTATATGGGGGTGGAATGGGGAATGGGATCAAAAATGGAGTGGGGGGAAGTGCTCTGGGATATGGTGATGGCACATGGGTGATTTGGTGATGGAAAGTCCACAGGGATTACAACTTAGATGGAAAAAGACACAAAATGATGTAAAAATAAACTATTATATTTAAAAAGTGCAGGAGTGCACTGCTGGTGGGAATACCAACTAGTACAACCACTATGGAAAACTGTTTGGAGGTTCCTCAAACTGCTAAACATGGAGCTTCCCTACGACCCAGCAATCCCACTCCTAGGTGGACACAAAAATACTGATTCAAAAAGATACCTGCACCCCCATGTTTATTGCTGCTTTATTCACAATTGGAAAGACATGGAAACAGCCCAAATGCCCAAAAACGGATGACTGGATTAAAAAGATGTGGTACATATACACAATGGAATATTACTCAGCAACCAAAAAACAGAAACACATGCCTTCTGCAGCAACATGGATGGAACTGGAAAAGAGCATGCTTAGTGAAATAAGCCAGAAAGAAAAGGAAAAATATCGGATGGTTTCTCTCATAGCAGGAATGTAACGGAACAGGCGAGAAAATAATGATAATGAACAGCTATATACCAGAGACATTTTGTGGGGTGGAGTAGGGAATGGAATCAAAAACAGTGTGGGGAGGGAAATGTACTGGAATATGGTGATGGCACATGGGTGATTTGGTGATGGGAAACCCAATGGGATTATAACTGAGATGGGAAAATGCACAAACTATGTAAAAATAAACTATTATAATTTTTTTTTAAAGTGCAGGAGTGAATACCTCACCCCTGATTTACTGAATTCCATGCTCCAGAGATTTAGACCAGCAATCTCTGTTTTAACAAGCCTTCCAGATACTTCTAGAGCAAACCAAGTTCCCAGAACCACTGGTTTCAAGTTTCTAAGGAAAATTGAATGCCCATTGCGTATCTGTAATTGTCCTTTACAAATGTAGAAGTTTTGACATAATAATGTGCAAGCACCCCTCCTTTTTAATTACAAGATAGCTATTCATTTACTGGCTAGCCAATATTCAAATTTATTTTGCCACCTTATTTTCTTAGGTGCAAGTTGTCAGCACCTGACCTCAAGTATCAGAAAATAAAAATTAAATCTAGTACTGATAAACCAAACACAAGTGGAATATTAAATATGCTGCATCCCAAGGTTTATAATACACACAAGACACATACATTAAGCATTTGATATAAAAATTAAATTACTGTTTTATCAGTTCCAACAAAGTATAAGCACTTCAAAGGCATAAAGATCACTTAAGAAAAATGAAGGTACCATAATAATTATAACTAAGAATAAAGGTTTCTTTCTTCTGTTTCTATCTTCTCTTTTCCTAAGACATAGGTAGCTGCTAAAGAGAGGTTGATGAAAAAGAAAAAGAAAATCTTACTCGATTACATTCCAGTTTCCTTATTTGATTTGTAATTAAGTAATAGCATGCATTGAGGGGAAAAAATTAAAAATTTATTTATTTATGCATACAGAACTGGGATACAGACCAGAGGTACGAGGGGTTAGAGGATTCATCAGAGACAGAGTGGGGTGCAGAAAAACGAAGTACACTGCTTGGGGGAGCAGCAGACAGGTCAGGAGAGGTCTGCCACACCATGTGAGTCACCTCCCTGGCTGGGGATTGAACTTGTGCTACTTCATAGTGCTGTGCTTTAACCCATTGTGCCACCAGGGAAGGCCCGCATTGAGGGAAAATTTTAAGGCATATTTGCAAGATCCTCCTTCAGAAGATAACAGTCATTATGGCTGCTATGGAAGGATCTTCATTTCATAGTGAGTCTGTCATAAGCTGTCCTTACAGGCAAATTCCCTTCATTAAGTGTTTTGTTTGGTCATACATGAAATGGTAATATTGGGCAGTATGTACATATATTTGATTCCAACTAATTTTATATCTTTTTAAACCAAATTGACCATTCATGTATGCAAGGGCTACAAAACACTCTGACATCTTCCTTATTTCATTACATAATTATGAAATATTATACATATACCGAAAATATTTATTTTTTGTTTATTTCCCCCTTTGTAACCTTTATGGCCTGACATGAAATACACGAAAAGTTCCTTTACTCTATGAACCCAATGTTCTTTTTCTTTTAAGATTTATAATTTATGCACACAGAACTGGGGTACAGACCAGAGGTTGCATGGGTGGGGGTAAAAGACCTCACCAGAGACAGAGTGGGAGCGGAGCAGGCAGGTCGGCAAAGTACACTGTGGAGGGGAGCTGCAGGCGGGACAGGAGAGGTCTGCCACGCCATGTGGGTCAGCTCGCTCTTCAGGGATGGTACTCATGCTGAGGCGGCTACAGCTAGCTTCACAGTACTGCACTTTACCCCTTGTGCTACAGGGAGGGCCCAGAACCCTATATTTTAAATGTAACTTTGAATTAAGTACAAAATTGCTTATGATTTTTGAATACTATCTTTAATATATTTTATGATAGAATGCACTAAGATATATTAATGATATGTGCTTTTTCTGCCATAGGAAAGAAAGAAAAAGATAGCTAGGTTAGCATGGTTTAAAAAAAAATTCTATAATGTTAAGGATCTTATTGAGTAATACATCACCCATAAAAATTGTTTTATTTGAGCTGTATTTCAAGAAATGTTTTGAAAGTTATGTTCATTACTGTTCTCATTTGATTTCTAATACTAAATAAAAAAAGAAAAATGTGCAATCTGAACTTAGTTTTTTAATCCATAAAATATTCTGGTACAACATTCACTTTTTTATTTTTTATTCTGAAAGGAAGAAAAAAATCGGTGATGCCTTCTCTGAAACTTTTCTTCCCCTCCTTTGTTACAGGTCTCCATTTTTTCAATTATATTAAACTTTCTAAAAATGGATTTCTTAAACTCATCTGATCAAAACTTGACTTCAGAAGAAATGTTAAACAGAACGCCATCTAAAATTCTGGTGTCCCTGACTCTTTCCGGGCTGGCTCTCATGACAACGACCATCAACTCCCTTGTGATCGCTGCAATTATCGTGACCCGGAAGCTGCACCACCCCGCCAACTATTTAATTTGCTCTCTTGCAGTGACAGATTTTCTTGTAGCTGTCCTGGTGATGCCTTTCAGCATTGTGTATATTGTGAGAGAGAGCTGGATTATGGGCCAAGTGGTCTGTGACATTTGGCTGAGTGTTGACATTACGTGCTGCACGTGTTCTATCTTGCATCTGTCTGCTATCGCTTTGGATAGATATCGGGCAATCACAGATGCTGTCGAGTATGCCAGGAAAAGGACTCCCAAGCATGCTGGCATTATGATTACAATCGTTTGGATTATATCCATTTTTATCTCTATGCCGCCGTTAGTCTGGAGGCACCAAGGGACAAGCCGAGAGGATGAATGTATCATCAAACATGACCACATTGTGTCCACTATTTACTCAACATTTGGGGCTTTCTACATACCACTAACATTGATTTTGATCCTCTACTACAAAATATATAAAGCAGCAAAGACGTTATACCACAAGAGACAGGCAAGTAGAATTGCCAAGGAGGAGCTGAATGGCCAAGTCCTTTTGGAGAGTGGTGAGAAAAGCACTAGACTGGTCTCCACATCATACATGCTAGAAAAGTCTTTATCTGATCCCTCAGCAGACTTTGATAAAATTCACAGCACAGTGAAGAGTCCCAAGTCTCAATTAAGGCATGAGAAATCTTGGAGAAGGCAAAAGATCTCAGGCACAAGAGAACGCAAAGCAGCCACCACCCTGGGATTAATCTTGGGTGCATTTGTTATATGCTGGCTTCCGTTTTTTGTAAAAGAATTGGTTGTTAATGTCTGTGAAAAGTGTAAGATTTCGGAAGAAATGTCAAATTTCTTGACATGGCTTGGATATCTCAATTCCCTTATAAATCCACTGATTTATACAATTTTTAATGAAGACTTCAAGAAAGCCTTCCAAAAACTTGTGCGCTGTCAATGTTAGTTTAAAATTTTTTACTTAAAATAATGTGTGTGTGAAAGAAGGGGGAAATTTTAGATAAAATGACTAAATTAGTGGTAAACAATACAACATCTAGACTTTTAGGAGGAATTAAACTGCTAAGTTAATTTCTATTTAATAGCAACATGAATATAGAACTTATGATTTAAACATACTACTTTTGACCATCATTTAAAAAACACACAAACTGGAAAACATTTATTGACTATAAAACTGTTTTGCCTAGGCAGTGTTCCTAAGATATGTGTGTGTGTGTGTGTATACATATATATGTATGTATGTATACACACATTATTTTTTCAGGTGTATGTCTGAAAACAGCCAAAGAATGGTTTTCAACTAACAAACTTCCATTCATAATTTCTAAACAGTCCCATTGTTCTGTTTTATCTTTCTGTTATTTTATAACAAAGAGTCACTTTACCACAAAGCACATTTTTCCTACCTACCCACTCTTGCCCCCTCTCCAGCTTACCTGGAATAAAAGTGTGGAAAGGGTGGGAGGATGAGGACATAGCAGCTCTTACTTGGTGTGACTAGAGGAAATAAATGTACATATCAGAGACTGATAATACTTTGTATTTAAATAGTAATAGTAAAAGACACTCATAAGTATTTGTGTATTGCTAAATAATTCTGACACTAAATTCACACATATTTAATATATTCTTTTGATAGTATAAATTTCTAAACTATTTTCAGCACTTGAAATCAAAGTCTTACACTAGAAATAAGGCTTTGGGGAGGTGGTGTTCCAATTTCCCCATGTTTATTTTGAAATCAAGTTTAAAGCACTAAGTACCCTAGATTATCCACCATAATAATGATACTCTTAATGTCTCTTTAAAATACAAAATAAAATTTATTTCTTTGGAGTACTGAATTTACTAACTAAAACATCCATGATATTGTCACTTCAGTAGCTCAGTGACTTCCATTTAAATCCTAAATCCTTTTTATTAGAGATAATGTGATAAGAACTCTTAGAACTTTCCATTGACTTAAAAGTGTTTTCTAGTTTTCCAGTTGGTAAAAATAAATAGCCAAAACCCCATTCTCCATTCTCTCTGTCTATCATATATATGATGGAAAGCCTATCAAGATCATTTGAAAAACACAGTACTTTTTTTTGTAAAGCTGCACTTTCATGTACTTCTAAGTACAGTATGTGTCACTTAATGACAGGGATCCCTCCTGAGAAATGTGCTATAGGTGATGTCATTATTCTACAACATCATGGAGTGTTCTTACCCAAACTCAATGGCGTGGTCTACTGCACACCTAGGCTGTATATAGGGGCCATCGTCCTGAAGGCAGTCCATTGTTGTTTGAAGTATTATTCTATGGTGCATGACGAGTTTCTTCCCTGATAATATGTTTAAGAGTACACATTACATTAACTTTTTGTATCTATGACACATTACTCATAAGCTAACAGAGAGAGTATTCATTTTATATAAAGATATACTATATAGTACAGGAATTAAGTTTCTTCCCTTACCATATTTACAAGCTAAGATGTAAAACAACAAAGGACCCTACAATAGAAAAGATAATAGAGCTTTGGCATGGAAGTTGTGATGGCTCAAAGGCAAAAAAATGATGACATCTAGTTAAGGAAAATTTCATAAAGAATGTATCTAAAATGGATATTAAATAAGCAGCATTTGAGGAAAGGAAGTGAAAGAGCATCTTCCAGGTGGTGCAATATCAAGAATTTAGATTCTTTCCTGCCAGTGTTTAGTGGGGCATGTTCATGAAATATCAGTGAACCTGGCAGCTATTCAGAACAATAGAAGAGAGATTAAAAGAGAAACTAGCCACTATTTTGACTGACACTAAAAATTGAAGAAGTCTTCAGTCAGTTTGCTTGCTATTAATGAGTAGGCATTCATGATTTTTAGTAGAAATATTGCAAGTTTAGGACAATTCAAGTTGATGTATATATGTGTGTGTGCATGCATTTGTGTGGAGAGGGAGATTTGAGCAACAAGGTACCCAAGATACTGACTTCTTAAAAAGCAGATCAATAATCCAAGTAAAAGATAGAAATCCTGAACATGGCTCTTAACAATGGGATTAAGAAACAGAGGAGAGATAGTATAGAGGCAGAATTGATAGTATTTAGAAAATATGTTATTAAGATAGGAAGACATGAATAATTAAAATAACTTGGCCTCTTACTGAAACTAGGAATGCAAGAGAAAGATCTGTTGGTAAAATAATGGCTGCTATTTGGGCATGTTAAACTTATAATGATATGTCAGAGCTCACAAGGACTAGCAAAGAGTCTGGCACAAGCAAAACTAACAGATTTATCTAAAGTTCCTGCCATTCTTCTGGCCTCCTCACTTTTTATCTCCTCAGGTCCAGCTGTACTGACAATCTAAAGCCTGTTTTAGTCCTTTTTATGTTCTGTTTGTTTCTTTCTCGCCAAAATTTGATCATCTAAAGACCTTGCTAAAGTTGCCATGCTACCTTTTTTATACCTACCACAGAAATTTATGTATTTATATTAGCAAACTCCAAGAGCACAGACCATCAACCCAAAGGAATAAATCTCATGCAGGGTGAAATTCACCCTAAGATACATACCACCCTCTGGTCTGAATTGGATTGAAATTCAAATCAAGGAAAATCATCTGTAATTGAAAGTCAAATCTCCCTTCAAAGTTATAGGGAAAATTAGAATCAAGTTTATTATTTTTGTGTGTATGAAGCATTTTTTAATTCAAAGGGGCTACAACACACTACAATAATTATCACTTCACCTCTGTGTTTCCCCAACGTGGTAATTAATCTGCAGTAAATCATCAAGAATGTGTGATTTCTCTTTATTATTTTTAAATTATAGTTAATGTAGGGGCTAATAAGTAAAAATTACTCTTTCTTTGAAATTCATGAACATATTACATAAAACATGACTCACTTCCCTGAATATAGCAGATTAATATATTGAACTAAAATTTTAATAAAAATTTTCCAAGTTATTATCAGTTGAGGATTTCTAAAGAAATAAGTATATCTTCAAATCTAGAACAAAAGTACAATATAATTATGTATATATTTAACTGATAAGGTAGAAAATAAATATATATATACATATATATATCATAGAAGTGGTTAAATATTAGGTATCTAAGATTAACTTCCTGCTATATATTTTATGTATACCAGAAAAGTAAGTGGAAGCTTTCTTACCAAAAGGCCTTGCTAAAGTTGACATGCTACTTTATTTAGCAGAATTCTGACACTGCTTCTTCAAAATATTTTCAAATGAAAGATGTATAAAAGGGAAGTGTAAAACACCAATTAGGAAGTCAAACTTAATAATGCTACATTCAATCAAATCCTCTCATCATTTGGCACTGCTACATAAAAATCATGTTTGAAAAATCCACTTTTGTTTATGACATGTTATTTATGATAAAATTGTTGTTAAGATTATCGATTGCTTACTTTGACTGCCTACTTGTTTGCTAGTTTTTTATTACTATTGTTTCACAATAGACTCAGCATCAAGCCCATACCACAAACATTATGTCCAGGTCCCAGCAGTCATAGGTTGGTCAATCCTCACAGAGGATCAGTTTCCATTTGAATGTTCTGTTGAAGTCTGTGCCTCTCTTGGCCCAGACATGTGTACTAGTCCAAGCATGTTCATTGCTTGCAAATGGAGAAAAACTTCTTTGGAGTCAATTTCCAAATTCTTGCTTGTGTCAGTTGTCAGTTCCAAATTTTAAAATTCCCTTGGCAGAAAATAATCCCCACATTCTCAAGTTCCATCTTCAACATGACCCCCATTTGCTCAATTAGTTCTGTTGATAAGAGCATGAGACTCTTACACATGACCCCCTATATCCAACAGTTGTCTGTCGAAAAGAAATGAAGAATTCATTAGATACTGACTAGGAACCTGTTAATTTGCTCTACCAAGTACCGAGAAGGTCAGGTCATCATGCTTCTCACTGGTATGCTATCTTTTACTCCAAGACTTCATGAATTTATATGAGACCTTTTTTGACTTTTAGTCAGAGAATCAGGTTTAGTGAATTGCAATAAAAAGAAAATTGGAAAGTTCCTTGCTTAATATATTCTAAATTCCTTCAAAAATAATCTTGCTCAATTCAAAATGTGTCCATATTAACTTGTTTCAGAAAATGTGTTTCTAATATCCACTTAGTAACTAAAATGATTATATTCAGGTCTTCTTTAGCCAGAAAATATTTTTTTAAAGATTTATTTATTTATTCATACAGAACTGGGGTACAGGCCAGACATGCAGGGGCGGTGAGAGGCTTCACCAGAGACAGAGTGGGGAGCAAAACAGGCAGATTGATGAAGTACACTGCTGAGGGAAGCAGCTGGCAGGTCAGGAGAGGTCTGCCTGCGCCATGTGGATCACCTCCCCAGCTGACCGGAATCCAACTCATGCGGAAATGGCTTTAGCTTCCTAGTGCTGTGCCACTAGGGAGGGCCCTAGACAGAAAATATTTCTAAAGGCAAGTTATTACTTTTTTCATGAATAGAGTAGTTTTCTTTATGGCATTGTGATAATTTCTTGGTCTCATAAATCAATATAGTTTCTCCCATTATTTAAAATGAGGAACTTATTGTTAACAAAAATATTCTTCAACACAATAATAAATGTTTGGTTACTGATATAGAATATCTTCTCTGTATAAAACTTTGTAGAACTTAAGATCAACTCAAAAACTAAAAAAATTCAAAACTTTGTACTCCTTGGTTAGTCTAGAAATCATTAAATTGGGAACAAAAATGTTTATTATCTTTATCAACAACAGCAACAATAATCACATTAAAGCCATCTTCCAAGAACCTTGCATTTATTCGCAAGTCCAGCTTCTACCAGACAGAATTTCCAAATCAACAAAGGCAATAAAATGACTTTATTAGTTTCTATAGACCTTGCTGTGTCCTTCTTCAATGATCTCCAGTTCATTTTTTTAAATTCCATTAATATTCCTAAACTATATGAAATTAATATTCAGTCCCCACATTATTATTATTAC